ACGACCCCGAGCCCTCAAGGGCTCCGCCCTCCCCTGACGTTCGTCGATGATCCTCAAAGTAGTTGGCGTTGGGGCCTTTTCCGACTTGGGGGCGAGCAATGGACTGTTGACCTTTAAATGGCCAACCTAATTACAGTGATAACAAATCCTAGAATTAGGAAATGGGGTCGGATGGCGGCAATCCCTCGCATAGTGCTCCTCTTTTCCATATTTGTGACATACATTGCCTGATCGATAGGCCCCCTCATGAACCTTGACGCATTTCCCATAAGTATGAACCCTCTGTACTCTAGATCTAGTATCAGTGGCCTTGAAACACTGCGATTCAGGTTGTGACTGCATCAGGGCTGGTCTCTACTCCTTCTCTTGGAGCTCCATCTCAATCTCACGCCGCCCGACGGCTTCAGGAAACTCCAAAAAAGAACATAATGTTGAGTGCATACAAACTGCCTGATATCCGTCTTGAACATGCTCAAGTAATGGGTCATCTAAGCTTGCTCGGAAACAGAAAACTCAAGACAAAACATGGCCCTCTCTGTGAACATCTTGGTGATCTCCGTTACCGATTCAGTCCTCTGTCTCAAATTCAAGTACTCATGGGCCAACCTCTCATGCTCCACCAACGACACATATCTAGAAAGAAACATCTCTGAGAACTGCTCCCTAGTCACAGAAACTCTCTGCTCAGAAGAATATGAGATAGTAATAAGTCTCCACCAATCCTTTGCTTCGAACCGCAAAAGGTTCAGAGCACACTTGACCCTCTGGTCAGTCGGGCAATAGCAAGTGAAGAAACATCCCACGATGTTAGACATATGCATCATGGCTTAGATCTGATCCTGAACTCCATCAAAAGTCACAAGCTTTGTATTGTCGAAGTCTCGATACTGAAAGGCTCTCCCAACACCAATCCCTACAGCTACAATGGTTGCGGTAGCTGTAACACCAACAACCTCAGACAAAGCAACATAACGCTCATCAAAATACTCCACTATGGTGGTATTAATAGACCTAAACATATCTTGAAATTGTTCTCGAAAGTGAGCAACAACCTCCTCCTGAAGGACCTCCCTAATCCTGTCCTCAGACACAACTGGCCCACGCTAGCCACCTGTCCCTGATCCTAATCCAGATCCTGCCTTGAAACGTCGTGTCATCACCATACTGAAAATAAACCAGAGAGATATTAGATAAAACACATATCATATCAGGGGAACCAACTCCCAACAAAGCCCTAGGGATTGTGTCTTCCCTATTACGCATACGGGTCCTGTGATTTCAGTAGTACGGGCCCATACTACCTTCCACACCTACCCATATTTGTGTCAAGGATCATCACAACAACCCTAACAATACACACTAGAAAACGCATATACTCAATCCTCACTCACTAGAGGAAGGTTAAACATCACGAAACTGACCGACTGACCCCACACAACTCATCCATGAAACTTCCACCAACCCTGCAGCACCTGCGTATGCTAATCATATGTAACACTGGACCCCATAGACAGTCGAATATTTGATCTTACCCTAAGCCCCTCATCAAACAAGAACAGGAAATAAGGCCAAACCAAACATTCTCAGGGTACATAATCTTAGTTATGTATAACTATGATGCGTACACTAAGCAACTACAATAATGATGTCAATTTCGTATAAGGAAGAACCTTAGGCTATCGGGTATCATATAATCAGGCGATTCTATCATGCAATTCCTAAAGATCCCTAGCCTATCACTAGCATGTTGTTCTAACATAACACAATATCAAATAACAATGTGGTAATTTAGGGTCTACTAATTGGCTCCGACTGATCATACACATTGCATCTTCTTTGATTATTTTGAAAACACTTCGAAAATCATTTTTAAAATCTTTTTCCTTAGTTTGAGACTGGATTCACACGAGTGTTCCTCCAATTCACTCAAACCAAGGCTTTAATACCAACTTGTAACATCCATAAAAAATCATGATAAATTTAAACTTTTTAAAACCAACCAATTTCAAAATTTGTTTACAATCATAGTTTTCAAAACATGTTCAACAATAGAGTCTCCCAAAATCATAAGTCAGAAACATGAGGATGTGTACGGTCATGCCTTCGCCTTCCCGTGATTATCCAAAGTACCTGAAACATAACTCAAAACTATAAGCCAACGCTTAGTGAGATCCTCAAAAGTACCAACACATAACATAAACGTAATACAGACAACATGCATATAGAGCCTCCAGTCTGACTAGAATGTCCCACCGGCCTATAGTCTATCTGGTACGCTCACAGAACCTTCAACATGACTCTCACCGGGCCTTCAGCCTATCTGAAACGTTCTTCGGGCCTTCGGCCTGAATGGTACGTCTCTCGGGCCTACAGTCTATCCGGGACGCCCTGGATCTCTTAGCCTTCAGCGTGCACTAGTCCGCCTCAACCCAACCACACATAAACCATGTCGACATATACATAACAGATAAGCATACATATAACCAATCAACAGACAATCATAACAAATAAGCATATATACATATATATATATATATATATATATATATATATATATATATATATATATATATAACAAATCAACAGACAGTCAGGAAAATCTTACAGATCACTAAGCATAACATTATCCTATATACCAGGATACAGATCTAACAGATCACTACAGCATACTAACATGCGATAAACCAGGATAACAATCCAATAGGTCGTCCTTGGTGCCTTTGACCCAAAAGTATACTGAGGAAAACTCACCTCACAAACTGAACAGAAGCTGATAAGGTCTCGATTCCAAATCTTAGCTCTCTACCTGACACCTCTTCCCACCAAATGACTAATTTCCATAAAAATCCCAAAATACCCAAAATCCCCTCAAAGTCAAACTTGGTCAAAGTCAACTGGTCAAACCAACTAGGTCAATTGAGTCAACCCAACCTAACCCAGTTAACTCAGGGTGCGTATGCAGGGCGTACTCTAGAGGTATGTTGGGTGTACATGAAGCCTCGCAGGTTGACCACCATCGGGGTGGTTGACCTCGTACGTAGGGTGTACTCTAAGTATGCAGGGCATACCCTTGAAAGTCCAAAAATTCCATTAATAGGTTAATGGATTAAGCTCTTACGTCCAAACTTCATATCCATGGCTAAAATGCTCTTAAGAGTCATAAAGTCTCCAACTTTATGACCTAACATGTCCAATAAGTGCTTAACACAAGGTCTTATTCCATTAAGACATTCTACAAGATGCATGAAGCAAAACTAACCATTTGGAACCCATTTTTATGACTTAAGACCCCTCCGAGGGTCTGAAAGGACAACTCAAAGGTCAAGAACCTTCCATATTCAAGATCTAACATTTTGGGACCAAAAATCTCCATAAAAACAACCAAAACTAGATCTTTGAGATAGAGGGATCAAATTGCAAGCTTTTTACCTTAGAATGGTTGCAAATGAAGTGGAACTCCCAGATCCAAGTGTTCAACTCCTTCAATATTAGCTTGGCTTCTTTCCTTCTTCTTCAAAGGCACCAAAAACACACTTCTAAGCTTGAAAAGGCTCCTCAAGGTGGTTATAAGGTTACAAACACGTATGAGAGGGATGGTGGCAGTTAAGTGGGTGAAATGAGGCAATAAGAGTGCTTAAATATGAGACACGCCCTAAAAATTAGGGTTTCCTTAACTGGAAAGTACGCCTAACGTACACTGATGTATGCCCAATGTACAACATGTACGGATGGCGTACTCCAAAGGTTATAATTACAACAATGCCATTAGGGCTCCTTTGCACACTTTCTTGAACTTAGGGACCAAAATGCAACATAATAAAATTATAGCGTGGAAATTCAAGGTACGTTATCATCGGGATGTTACAAAGAGATTGTTTAGAGAAGGTGTGGAGAAAGAATAAGTAGGAAAAAGCAACTTATAAGCATTTTTCTAGCGAGGCTTGTCGTGCCTACCTACCAGGCATGTCGCGCGTTGGGTAGGTGGTGGTTCCTCCCTTACCAGATGTCTGACACGTGGTGTTCACTAATAAGGGTTGTGTGGCAAAGCACTAAGTATATCTAGAACTTTAAAAATTCACACCTCACTCATACGAGCTCCATTTTTTATGTACTCTATATCCATACGTATTCCATGTACTACAACTTTCATTTAGACTCCGTTAGCTAATTCCACTCAATCTTAAATTTAACAGTCTATGAAGATTACACTGCCATGGACCGTGTAACATTCATAATTTCTTCATACGAACTTTGTTTTTTATTGTTTTTATATCAATAGACTCCTTATCACGAGATTTTCAATTTTAGTTTAGTTCATTTTGGCTAAAAGTCAACCGATCTAAAATTAGATTTATGTGAAATTAGATTTTGACGTTCTCTATTTTATGATTATTACAACTTTCGTTTGGATTACTTAAGCTAATAAGCAACCTCTCTCCGATTTACTATTTATGATGTACTTTGTCGTATCGGGTCGAACGCGTAATTTCAAATGATCATAACTTTTTATACGAAGTCAGATTTTAGCATTCATTATATCTCCGAAATCATCATTACGACTACTTCAACTTTCATCAAGGCTATTTATTTTAATTAATATTTTATTTAAATATTTGTTTTAGCCCTATTTATTAAGTTTTCACCTAATATTATATACATGTAATATAAACAAATAACTCACATAGATTTATAATATTTTTTATGTGTGATAAAATAAGAAAGTGAGAGTACTATATTTATAATGTTCTATTTTTTGGAAAAGAAAAAATACTAGCCATTGAAGTCGAACGTTAGCCTAGAAGCAAAGAAGCAAACACGGGAAAAAAAGTCACGAGGGAGCAGTACCGCACCGTCCGGGGTCGTGTTCCCGCGCGGTGTCATGCTTCGTGCATGACCTTCCACATGAGTGCCACACCCATACCATATCCACTCATGTGAAATGTTGACTTTTAATAATTAATAAATTGGAATAAATTGGACGTCTGATTATTATTATTGACCAAAATTTATTCAATAATATTTCTTTTGAACGGCATTCTATAATAAATGACCAAATGAAAACGATGTATCCAAAGCATTTAAGTAACATAATAATATGACGTTGAAGGTGAGCCAAGTACGTACCATCACACAACAAAACCAAAAGTTATACATTATCCAAAACCATTACAAAGGCTTTTTCACATCAAAGATTTCAATGATCTTGCCTTGATCGGCTTCCTCCCTCTCTTCTTGCCAATAATTGCCACTTTACCCTTTTTGTCATCGTCGATATTATCTAATTCCACTTTCATGGACCCCACCTCGGAAATCTCGGGTTCCAATCGTTTTCGCTTTTTTTCTTGTATATCAATATCACCGATAACATCAACCCTTTCATAACCGTTCTTAGCAACCGTATTAGCTTCGTTATAAATATATGTAATTGTACTTGTAGTTGTATCCGTTGCCCCTCTTTTCTTGCCCCAAGACGGCCCAAACCCTGAATAATAATAGAAATCATGCGGGTTCGTTGTGGGCCGTTTTTTGGTTCGGTGAGGCCGGGCCCCTGTCATGGACCCGGATATCACCCGAGATTTTTTCTTAGTGGTCGAAAGATGGTGATCACACATTTTGTTGCCATTTTTGACCACCCTTCCACATTGCCATCCTTTTTCATCTAATTTATCACACAACACAATTTCTTCCTTAAACCCTAAAATGTCACCACAATTGTCATTATCGTTTTCATCTTCCCGAGAGGTCTTCAAAGCCACACTGTTATCAAGATTAATCTTTATTCCAAGCCCATATTAATATAGCGGGAAATTAAGAACCAAAATTTTCATATATCCGAGTTGGATCATGAAGAATCAATGCACAGAAGTCTCAATTTGGAAATTTTCTAGTTGTTCATATCATAATATATATAGACATTAACGTTCGTAATATGAACATTATAGTTCTGCAATTCGCTGAAGCCACATTGACAACAAGATCAAAGTTTTATTCCAAAGCCATAAGATATAACGCAAAAAAGATTCAAACTTTCCCTAAACCCCAGATTAGATTACGAAGCAATCGCAGCACATAAGATGTTAAAGAACGAATAATTAACGACGATATGTACATATCATCGAACAACCCTAACTCGTTATAGGTTCTGTAAGTGATCGATAACATATTGAAAGCAACCAGAATAATTCGAATTCGAAGAAAAGATTCACGGGTTACCTCTCCAAATCTCCTACGGAATCAACCGAGCTTCCATTTCCAGCAAGATTAACGTTGTAGTAAACCTCATAATCATCGAACTGTGTAAGGCAACAAACCCATTCAACAAATTATCAAGAAAAACTATAAGCATGCTAATAATGACTATAATCTGACAAACAAAGAAAACCCATGGGGAAAGTAAACTTATTGAGCTCAATTTCACGACGAAAATGGTGGGATTTTAGGGTTTATGGTTGGGAAGAACCCTAGAGAAGGGGTTTTGAAGATAAACCCTAGAGAAGAAGAAAGAAGAAACCGAAGCAAATAAACAAAAGATTCGGAGTGATTTTAAGTGGGGTTTTCTTGTTTCGAGAGATTTGATTCATAGAATTGAAGAAAAACAAGAACATATTGAAGGAGAATGAATCAATGTTACCTGGTGGAGAGAAGAAGATGAATCCGAAGACGGAAAAGTGATGATATCCCATGGAGATTGATTAAGCTGACACAAGTTCTTCTTTAGCAATGATTCATCGGCGTCACTTGTAAGATTTGTGGTTGAGCTAAGCAACGCTGAGATTTTTGCATTTTTTCTTATTCTCATGGTGAAAATGGAGAACACGAAGAGAGAGAGGGAGATGGGTACAGCGGTGAGATCCAAAATGACTTTCTCTCTCTATAATTATATGTGTATAACTCTCTTTTTCAGAGTCAATGTATATAAATATAAGAAAAGGTACAACTTCCAAAGAAATATGTACAAGTACATATTACCATATTATATATATTAAGAAAATTTTGGGCTACAGAAAGGATTTTATGTAGAATTATGAGCTTTGTTTGTGCTTCTCTCCTCTCTTTGTTTTTTCGCAGAACCACAGAACTCGAAAACAATGAGAGGATTATACTAAGGCTAACAAAATCAATTTTACACTTTAGACCCTATACAAGTTGAATATTATCTGATATGGTCCTACAAGTTTGTTGTCTTTCCCTTACATTATTAAACTTAAACTTTAGTTTGTTATTTTTTCTCTATGGGTTGATCTGGTTTAATTCAATTTAAACCTATTTATTAATTGGGTTGAAGATATCAACAAAATCCAACATTTTTATTTAAATGTATAGATATTTTTAATACAACCTAACCTTTTAGATAAATGAGTTATCATCGGGTTGACATGTTTAGGTAATTTCTAACCCAACCTATTAAATAAATTTGTTAAACTTGAATTAACCCATATAAAATAAGAAAATAAATAAATTAACTAAAGATTTCACCACTTAAATTACTTCAAAACTTAAATAAACTTTCAAAGTATAATGTTTAAGGTAACTCTATCCCTGTTGGCAAGCAAACACGAATATGGAAAATCTATATGTGCTCACGTCTTGGAGATGAAGTTGCATATTGACAAATTGAGAATGTTGGGTGTCGATGTCTCGAGGAAGCTGGTTGTTGACTTGGTTCTCTAAGCGCTTCCTGAGTCAATTAGTGAGTTCATTAAAGATTACTATATAACAAACCTCGACGTGACCCTTATCGATCTTACATATTTGCTAATTGTTGTCGAATCAGCAATGATTTGGTGCACTAGTAAAGCAAATTTGAATGAACGATCTACTCCTCAAACTTCCATGGACATTGAAAATGGAGACATTAGAAGTCAATAAAAGTTTTCTCTTCCCAATGGAAAGGGATCGGCCGAGGTCAAACTGTTTGACCAAACGATAAAGAGAAAGGCTAAGTCTGAGATTGTCTCAAGTACCATTCCAAAATAGTCTGTTTGTTTCTATTGCCAAGAGAAGGGGCATTGGATGCGAAGTTGCCATATTTACCTGAAAGATCGCAAGGATGGAGAAGTCAAGATGTATGGCTCTGCTTTAGGTAAGTCCACTATCTAACTCTATTAAGTTTCTATTAGTAGATTCTTAATACATGATGTAATAAGATTACATTTTGATGTTTTGTAGGATCGAAGAAAAGAAAGGAAGCTTAAAGGAAGAGTGAGCCGAGTCTGATCGCGCAGAGATGGATTTCGATCGCATGGTTCAATGATCGGATTTTTGGGCTGCTACTTAGGAGTTATGATAGATTACTTAGAAATATGTAGTTACATAGTGTTCATTTATAATTGTGTTGTAAGGATAAGTTTTTCTGCATTTTTATAAATAAAGAAAATTTTTGATTTTGTCTTATTTTATATCTCCTTGCAATGACATTTGTGAAAATTTGGTGTTTATACATTATTAGCAATATTATGAATGGATTTGAGACTTTCTTTTGTGGTAGTGTAAAAAATTTACCAAATAAGGAAAGCTTCGAATCACCCAAGTTTCAATTGGACAAAAACTTGGAATCATGCGACTTGCATTGTATGATGAATAAGAACTTTCATCTTTAGGAAATTAAGACTAATTCCTTGTTCACATGTATATGTGAGTCAAGTGAAGGACTAGGAGATCTAGTATACATTGTTGTGCACTGGTTTGGTCCACCACAAAGAACAATAAGATTATTCGTCATAATTTACTAAAAGTTTATTAAATGTGTTTATGCTTACAAGATTAGGTTTAATTCTAAATCATTGAAAAGTTTCAATGTATAGCAGAACAAATAAAAAGAATCAATTAGACAGAAAGATAAAAGTTTCTCCAATCTTAAAGGAAAGGAGAGTACTTACGTATCATGTTTTATGATCATCTTATTAATTATGAAACCATATCACAATTCATCCTCTAGGTACATCTTAGTGCACTTTTATGGGTAGGAAGATGAATCATAAATTGTTGAAATGGTTAAATCAAAAGGTGAATCATACTTCGTTCCGAAATCGAGTCTTAGAGTCATACTCCAAGATTGCGAGTTGGGTGACATATTTTAAGTAGGTTTATAAGACATCATGAAATGTGGAGTGGAAAAGTTTTCTTACTCATGCACTTTTAAGATTTGTAGTTGTGATGTTTTGGATAAAACAAAGACCAACTAAGACCAATTGTATGAAGTGTTTTTCTTGATAAGAATCCACACTAACTCTTGAATATTGTTTGTCAAGGAATCTTTCTTAACAAGAGGATCTTATATGTCAAGAGGTTAGTGGGAGTCTTAAGATCTTGAAAAGTTTCAAGAACTAATCAAGAATAAACATATTGTTCATCGCTAGCACACGACTTGAGGTTTGTTACCTGTCGTGTTGACACATTCTTATTTTTGTGCCCATTCCACTTAAGTTGACTATGCATGTGAGTTATATGAGTTCTGAATTACATAAAGGCAAAGAACCTTGATCAATGAAAGCACATTGATCTTTATGGGTGAGATGCTAAATAAATTGGAAGACATGGTAGGCCCTTGTTCTTCCATGTGGCAAGAAATTAAGATTGAACAAGTTTAGTCTAGATGAGTTTGAATTTGTCATAGACCTTATCTTATGACAGTGGTTAGAAATGATAAATTCACATGGATAGGAACACATACACCATAAAATCTAAATGGATCATGAAAATGATTGTGAGGAAACGCTTTCCTTGAGTAAATTTAAAGATTTAGCAGTTGTGTTAATTACGTTCTCAAATTTGAATATGATTACGACATCCCTCTTCATAGTTCGAATTGTGAGAAAATAACAAATGGTTTGAATATTCAAGACTTACTGCTGTAAATTCTGAAATAGTTTAGACACACATATGAGCTTTCTAATGAAAGGTGTATGAGATTGAGAGGCTTAGATAAAGCCTTATCGAAGCATATCGTATCAGAAATCAGAAATTTGGTAAGAAAGTCAATATGTATTGATTTCTGGAAGTCCAACTGATTTATGAGTACGTGTCAAAGCTAGTGGGAACATACGTGTTATGCTAGTTGGAATGTAATTATTATGCTAGCGGGAGCACAATTATTACATTAAATGTTGCAAGGTAGTAATGCTATTTTTAGGAAAAAAAGTTTTGATTTGCAAAGTTGCAGAGTTTGAAAAGTTGTTTCGCTATAGTAAGGGAGAGGATACTTATACTTCACTTCAAATCTAAAAGTTTAGATTAAAGTTTTAATCAAACTTAGTCATGATTATATATGAATATCAGGTTAAAATGTCTCAACATTAGAAATTCTATATATGGAAATATTATAGCAAAAGACTGGTCAAGTATCATGTGTTTATTTAAGACATTATGAATCGTATCCCATATGCTTGGGGTATAGGATTGATTGCATATACTAAAATATTCACATGTTCTAATTTTTCTAAATGCCTAAGACATTAGGAGGACCAGAATCGGATATGACTAAAGTAGTTAAACACCTGTCAAGAACGATCTAAGGTTCGTTGAGGATTGGTTGCTTGTGGGCAATTGGAAGTATGGTAGTGGATGGACCATATCAACATTATTTTAAATATATAGGATTCTATTAAGAATAAATTGTCATATGGAAAATATGGAAAGGTTTCCATAATGGGAGTTGGATATTAAGAATCTATGTGTAGGTTAGAAACTTTATGCAGGAAGGATGTTCAAAGGAATGTACTTTGAATGTGAGACTTCGTATTTATGGAGTTGTCATTGTAATAATATCCAATGGAACACTTTGCAATATCATTGGCAAAGTCATTATGACTTTGGTGCTATGTTGTTACAAAAGGGTCATTGCATAAAAGATTAGAATTTAACACATTCTAATACTGGCAACAATTTAGTATTCTTACACTTGTGATAAGGATTAGGAATTATGAAATGAGCATCATTGGAAATGTTTTTCAATTGACCTATTTCACAAAGTATGGGCCATAGGTAAACATAGTGTGCATGCTTGGAGCATGGGATAACTATTATTTTAATTCAAGTATTGAGTTGATTAGTCGAAACATTATACAATGAATAATGTGTAATCAATATGGTGATTAATTAATAAGTGTTTTATTTATATTCAAAAGTGTTGAAACCATATTGGATTGGATTATTCTTGTGTTTCACTTCGCATGTTTTGACTTACCGAATAATATGACTATTCAAACATCCACAGTCAATCATACTTTGGAAGTAAGTAATGAGATAAGACTGTCATGAATCCGACCGTAGATTGTATAAAGTGTTTAGACATAGAAAAAGTCTATTGCAGTGTTCATGAGTACTCCTGTAATAAGATTTGAGTATTGGATTAAACCCACGCTCACGTGAATCACTTCATGGATTTTATCACGTGTGATTATGAGACGATAATATCTTATATTCTTGAAATGGAGACATATATTTGTAGTTTACGAGTCGGTTGCACATTGATAATATGTAAATGCATCAGTAACTTGATGTTATAAAATGCATTGTTGTGTGTGATTTGATGAGTAAATAGAGCAAGCATATGAGTCAAAATTTATCCGTTCCTTTTACTCTGAGAGGGATAAAAGCGATATATGTGGGCACCTAGATGATTTAGTGATGACACCCTAAATGCTTGGCTAAGCCTGGACTAAGTTAATGTGTTCAATTGTAGTCTGTTATCTGTCGTCATAAATCGGGATATCGGGAAACAACAAATGTACTGAGAGAATGATTATAATCCATGTATCAGTCTATATGATATATTGTAGAATGGAGGAATATATGATCTCTTATCTAAATGACATGTTTCTGATATGATCAGAGTTTCACAACGACTTTTGAAAGCTACGATTGCTAATCAGGTTATGTAGTCGTACTTGTAATAATAGTTATTAGACTTATCCAAGTAGGAGACTGTTGGATTATGTGTCTAATCCGATAACTATTTTTGGTATGTACTTGATTTGATTATGAGCATCGTCCTTTTGAGTTTCCTTCACTCATGCAACTTGATAGGATGATAAGAGGAGAGAGAGAGAGAGAGAGAGAGAGAG